TGTATTATATTATTCCAGTAACAGCACAGAAGACCCGCATCACAAAAATGGTGTAGGTATATTAGTAACATCAGAACTGAGTAAATATGTGACCAATTTCGTACCAGTCTCGGATAGAATAATATTACTCCAAATAAATACTGAACCATTTAAAACTAACATACTTCAAATCTATGCCCGACTGCAGATAGAAAATATGACGATGAAGTCGAGAAGTTGTATGATCAGATCCAAGATATCTTACAGAAACTTATATATTATAGGCGACTTCAATGCAAAAATTGAGGAAGGTCGACGAGGTCAGACTGCAGGTCTTTATGGTCTAGGACAACCTAACGATCTAGGACAGAGATTGTATGAATTTTGTAAAGAAAACGATATGATCATTGCAAACACCTGGTATAAACTACCCAAGCGACGACTATACATTTGGAAAGCTCCATTTGATGATGGCAATAACCCTGAGTCTTCAAGAAATAAAATAGAGTATATACTTGTAAATGAGCGTTTCCGAAATGCCGTCAAAAAAGTCACTACTTTTCCTGAGTAATCAACCAGATATTGGATCTGATCATCAACCACTTATAGCAGATATTAAACTAAGGTTAAGACAAATTCAGCGACAAAAACCAAAAACCAATGTACTTAACTTGGACGATATAAACATAAATCATAACATTAAAAAAGAATGTAACAATAAAATAAAAAACATTGAAGAACAACTAGAAGATCCAGAAGAACTATGGAGTGAATTTAAAAACCAAGTTACCGAAATCTCCACAAACAGTAATTATAGAAAAAACTTAAGAAAAATAAATGGATGACAGACGAGATCTTGAAATTAATGGAACAACGTCGACTGATAAAATCTAATAAAACAGAATATAGACACCTGTAGAGAAGAATAAAAAAGGAGATCAAATTAGCCAAAAAAATGGATGAGAGAAAGGTGCGACGAAATGGAGGATGTAATATCTAAACACGACTTATTTAATGTGCACAAAAAACTAGAAGAAATGAGTAACATATTTAAAAAACGAGTTCCCTCTGTGCTCGTTGACAATAATAACAAAATTATTGTAAATAAACACGAAATAAGAACAGATTGGCAGCTGTATATATCAGAGTTGTTTGAAGATGACAGAAATAATATTACCGAATTTTACCAAAACTGCACTGACGGCCCAGAAATTATGAAATGCGAGGTAGAACAAGCTATAAATAATGCTAAAATTAGAAAAGCTTGAGTTGCTGAAACTAATAGAAGATGGTAACATAAAGTAGTAGTAAGACTTTTTAATTCAATATATAACACCGGAGTGATTCCACAGATTAGCTCAAATCCATCTTCGTCCCAATACCTAAAAGATGAGAGAGAAAATTGCAAGAATATCGATTAATTAGCCTAATAAGCCACACTCTTAAAATTTTCCTAAGAATACTTCACAACAGAATTAGATGCAAATGCGAAGAAGATCTTTAAGATACCCACTTTGGTTTTAGAAATGGTATGGGAACCAGGGAGGCACTTTTTGCGCTTAACATGCTATTACAAAAATGCCGTGACCAAAGTAAAGATGTATTTACATGTTTCGTGAACTTCGAAAAGGCATTCGATAAAGTACAGCATGTAAAATTAATGCATATAGTGAAAAATATCGAAATAGATGACAAGTATATTTGTGTCATTAAAAATTTGTACTGGAATTAAACTGCTATCGTAAAAATTGGAGATAACTACACCGATGAAATCTCCATACAACGAGGAGTCAGACAAGGTTGCATTTTGTCGCCAACATTGTTAATGTTTTCGCTCGGACCAGTTATTTAAAAAGGCACCTAAGAAGAACAACCATATGGATAAAAATCAACGGGAAACTACTTAAAGTGATTAGATATGCAGACGATACAGTAATTCTGTCAGATAATATTGAAGGTCTCCAAATTCTGCTTATCGTATTTACGAAGTAGGAGAGGAAATGGTCATTAAAATAAACTCAAACTAAACCAAATTTTTAGTGTTTAGTCGTGACCCACATCCCGATGCAAAGCTTCAATTAAACCGTAGGAGCCGTAGATGTTTAGAAAGAAAACAAGTTCCTTGGTAAAAAATATTCACAACAGATATCAAATGCAGGACAATTATTATATATTGCAAAAGATCGAGAAGCCTTCGCAATGGTGATCGCCAACGTCGGATAATTCTGATATGGCACGCGAAGAAGAAAAAGTAGATTTTTTTTATAAAAGTTTACAAGCAAGCAAGAGAACTGTCGAAAGATTAGGTAAAGTCAATTTTCATACATATCCCGAAAAATGAAACGCCATTGCGGCATATTACGCAAAGGCTTTCTACTGTGTAACAAAAATACACAGACTTCATCTATAAACTACTTGAGAATTACATTTGGCATAACATAGATTTAATAATAGATACTATCCAAGAACTAAAAGAAACTTTTCAACAATTAAATGAAATAACTGGAAAAATTGGGTTGAAATAAACTGCACTAAAACAAAAATAATGTTTCAGGAAATCTGCCCAAAAACTAGAAACAACACAAAGGGCAATAAAACGAAATATGTTTGGAATTGAACTAAGAATCAAGATCTGAAATACCCAGATAAGACGTAGAATGAAGAACAGAGATATCTTGGAAGAAATAACAACGAAATGGCACTGGGCCTGTTCATACCCAGATATGATTATAACACATGGATAAGGAGAATCCTAAAATGGAGACGCAGGGTTACGACAAGAAGCGTGGGTAGACGATATTGATATATCAAAAGAAATGGGTAGATGATATAAGAGCAGCGGCATAAACAGAATAAACATTTATACTCAGCGAAATTGTCATTATTTTTCTGTATAATCTACTGAGAGTGCTGGTAACTGTGATGCATGGGGAGTTCTTGCAGTCTGCCTTATTCGCTTTTTTATGAATCGGTATAATCCATCCCTCCTTTTAGCTTTCAAATACATTACCTCCGTTCACGTATCTACTAAAAAGTTCTGTTAGCATATTAACAAGCGTTGGTATTGCATTTTTCAGAAGTTCAGCAGGAATTCCTTCAGGAAGCAGTTTTACATTATATTTAACATTAACTTTATTAATACTATTGATTACTTGGTCCATAATGATGTTAAATAAGGTAACTTTAAGACTATCTTCTTGTCATACGCCCGCACTGATATTCAATTTCTTAGATAGTCCTTCTGTTTTTTTTACCCTTGTTAAATTTCTGGTATGTTCTTTAATAATTCTTTGATATTTAAAGTTATTATCATTTCCTTAAAAATCATGATAACATCACTTGGCCGCATCCGATCAAATGCTTTGGTGACATTACCCAAGCAGATAAAAGGCTTTATTGAGCTCTTTTGACTTCTTTGTCATTTGTTTTTTCTTCTTCAAACACTGGAATCACTGGTTCACTGGTTCAAAAAAACACTGGAACATGGCATTGATACTCATCACATATTTATATACTACAAAGTAGCCTAAGGCTCTCTGAATAGAAGAGAGATGTTCAAGGCAATGAAAAGTTAGGAATACTAAATCCGTTAGTAAATTTAACAAAACTAACTCTTGAAAAAGAGAGTGGCTAAATGACGAAAGTCTATGCCACAAAAAAAAAACTCGTGAAAAGTTTAATGTGGAGTTCGAATTCAGGGGAACTATCTGAACCTTTTTAAAACAAATAACGGGCTGCGCCAGGGAGACCCTCTCTCCTGTATACTGTTTAATCTGGCTCTGGAAAAAGTAATACGTATGTCACAAATCACAACCACTGGATCAATATATAATAAATCCTGCAAATCCTGGCCTATGCTGATGATATCAATATTGTTGGGAGAACGGAAAACGCTGTACGAGAGGCGTATGTAGCATTAAAAGAATCAGCTACAAAATGGTTTAATAATAAACACCAACAAAACGAAGTATATGAAAATAAGCACGCAACCACAAATACTACGACCACTTGTTATAGAAAATGACGTCATCGAAGCAGTGAACGAATTTGTATACCTGGAGCGCTCCTTAACACTGAAAATAATACTACCACAGAGATAAACCGCAGAATTTGTACGGCCAACAGATGCTATTTTGGGCTCAATCTCCTCCTTAAATCCACAATTATATCGAGAAATACAAAAAAAAACTCTACAAAACAATAATAGCCCAGTCCTAACATATGGTTCAGAGACCTGGACTCTTACAAAAAATAATGAAAACATGTTAAGAAAAAAAGTACTAAGGCGAATTTATGGAGCAGTGAATGACAATGGAGTGTGGAGAAGACGATACAACTTCGAACTTTATAGAATATACCAGAACCTGATATCGTAAACATATTAAGATAGACGTCTGAGGTGAAGGCATGTAATGCGGATGAACAAAATGACCCAGCTAGAAAAACGCTCCTTGATAGACCCATTGGTCAGAGAAGAAGAGGAAGACCAAGAACAAGGTTCCTTGATAACATTGATGAAGACATGAGAAATATGGGAGTGCGTGCTTGGCGGAGAAAGGCGATGGATAGGGACGACTTGAGAGAAATTCCTGAGGACCCATGTAGGATTGTAAAGCCAGAATGATGATGATGATAATGAATTCCTGAAAGAACATTAGATAGAAACATTCAACATTAATTTAGCAAATACGAATGTGAAGTATAAGAAACACTTTTTAGAAGTAAACAAATCCGTCAGCAATAAGCAACGCATATAGCTAGAGTACTAGAATCAAGAAGGCATGGAAAAATAATCACAAATGCATACCAGATGGGCACAGAAAGACAGAAATACAGTTCAGATGGATAAACGGGGTGACGCAAATTGGTTATTCTAGAATATCGGTTCTTTCAACTGGAAAACATCAGCAAAAACAGTATGGCACGGGAAACTCGGAAAGATCCACGAAGAATTGTCTGACCAGTGATGATAAATGATGGCAAATAGACAAATATCAAAGTAGTCAAGAAAAAACATTTTTAAATATAAATACATTTTATTTTAACAAAAAATGACAGTATATGCGTACATGTTCATATATACACCTTGATAAACTAAAAAAAACTTATAAATAAATTACAAATAAGCCACTACATCGTAAGGGTAACTTAGGATATTCACTATCTACATAAAGTCTGTCAAAAAAACACAAAAGCTATTAAAATCACATATTTGACAAGAAGAACCGTTTTATGCTGTTACAAAAATGTATATTTTGCAAAATCGATATAAACGTCATTTCACATGTCAAAATCAACCGTCGATATCAACAGGTCAACGTCAATTTGTCATGTGATATGTCAAACGTCATATTGTCATAGTCACCTGACAATTTACAAAAGAAGCTACTTTAGTTGTATCATAATTTCGGCTTCTTCTTTGTCAAATTCGTCATTTCAACCATATCGACAAATACTCAACATGTAGTTAAAACAGTAAAAAGGCATAACAAACATGCGGGAAAAATAAAAATAATGGAAAAATATAACTAAAAGTAGAACAAAATCTAATAAATACTATTTTAATGGCTTAAAATAATCGATTTGTGACGATTCCAACTTGTGTGATATTTGACTTCTCGTTATTAATAAAGTAATCGAGACTAATTGTTTCTTTAAATTTACTGGGATTACTAAGAGTACCAGGATTATTATATAGTATACAACAAATGTTTAGAGCTACTTTTATACTGCAAATAATGAAATTAATATATAAATTTTTAATTATATTAGTTATATTATCAGGGAACGTATTTCGGAATTGTATTAATTTTATTATGGTTTGCTATAGTGGGTAAGTAAAAATTCTGTAGTCCATTCGTTCGGCTTTCTCTCTGGCAATATCTCGATCACCCTAAAACATAAACGTATGTATGTTAGAAAAATTTAAACCAATCTAAACATTGTAAAGAAAATTAAAAATATATCTCGCTTGTCGATTTGCTTTTGCTTCAAAATGGTCAGAGTTTTTTGTTCCGTACTCTGTCAAACGACTTTTCATAATATATAAAGCATTATATAAACATATTTGATAATGTAAAAGGCAAATATCGAGCACAGTATTAATTTAATCTTGCCCAAGTACTTTCTATCACTAGATCATCTTCAGGGGCATCTGAAATAAGCCAAGAAACGTTTTTTTAACTAAAGAAATTAATTAACTTCGATAAAAACCTCGAAGTTTATGGTTGATAAAAGTTTTTATGTGATTAACGTTTATAGACTTACTTCGTTAATTGAGGCCTATCCGACAAGAGTAGAATGTCATAAATATAACAAGAAACATCACGCGTCCCCCTGTCTTAGACAATTATATTATTAATATCAAAGAACGTAGAGTTTTCTCCTTTAATTCTAATGCATGAGCTTACGTTTTGCATTATTAGTTGGGTCAACTTAACTAACTTAACTATAATTCAGATCTTTTCACACTGTCATAGGCTGCTTTGAAGTCAATGTATCTATGTTATATTGTGCCTATGTGCTTGAATTTGATGTATAGTTGACTTTCCAGCAGTAAATCCGCATTGATATTGACCAACAATATCCTTTGTAAAATGTTTAATTTTTAAAATAATACATTGCCGAAGATTTTATACGCAGATGCTACAGAGTAATGCCTCTATAGTTCTTACACTCCAGTTGATCACCCTTTTTATGCAACGGATATATTATTCCTTTCAGCCACTCTTCTGGTACCCATTCATTCTGCCATATAAGTCCTATTAGTTTATGGATTGCTGCAAAAAGTTGATCACCGCCTTTTTTATACATTTCCGTACAGATTTCATCGATTCCTGGGGCTTTATTGTCTTTGAGTTTTAGGATCGCATTTGACACTTCTTCTCTTGTTGAGTCTGCACTGTGTAGTCGACGTTGTAGATTTTGTTCATTTTCTATATTGTACTGTCCTTCAATATCGTTTATATTTAGATGTTCGCTGAAATGTTGTGCCCATCTGTTAAGAACTGAGGTTTTTCTCGACGGCTATTATTTAAGGATTTGTATTATTTCCTCGTTTCATTTTTATCGGGTAAACTTTGTTAATTACTATTTAACTGGGAATAAGCCACAATTAAAGATAAAAATACGTTTATTGACGTTTCAATTTCCACTTCGGAAATCGTTCTCAAAATACAAACAGTAAATTAAACAAATTTTGTTTTTTGTTACATAGTGAAAAATTCTTCTAATAATTTAATTTTATCTGACTCATTTATATTGACAATTCAGACATACATTATGCATTTTAAAGTAGACGACTTTAAAATGATATTGCCAATATTGTTGAGTTGCGCTCCTGGGACGACTTTACTTATAAGATAGTTCATTCGATTACATGAAATCAACTTTAACTTGAGAATATCCGTCAGAAAAAAATCATAGCATGTAATTCGTCTTTAAAAAGACAAACACATGACATGATGACAGTAAAATTCTCCTGTTAGTGATTCCATAGTAAATTATGAGGGAAAAACCAGGAAAAAAACCTCATAATACTATCCCGACATTGTAAGTATTTGTTCGTGCATTTAGTTTACCTTCAATAAACACCAAAATTCTGATTTTATATGTTTCGTTATTTAAAAAACATAAATGATGTATCCTCTATATGTTACTGACTTACTAATACTGGTATTTTCTTATTAATAACTTCCTCTTTCAATATTTGAATAACGAACATATAAAATCAGAATTTTGGTGTTTATTGAAGGTAAACTAAATTCACGAACAAATACTTACAATGTCGGGATAGTATTATGAGGTTTTTTTCCTGGTTTTTCCCTCATAATTTACTATGGAATCACTAACAGGAGAATTTTACTGTCATCATGTCATGTGTTTGTCTTTTTAAAGACGAATTACATGCTATGATTTTTTTCTGACGGATATTCTCAAGTTAAAGTTGATTTCATGTAATCGAATGAACTATCTTATAAGTAAAGTCGTCCCAGGAGCGCAACTCAACAATATTGGCAATATCATTTTAAAGTCGTCTACTTTAAAATGCATAATGTATGTCTGAATTGTCAATATAAATGAGTCAGATAAAATTAAATTATTAGAAGAATTTTTCACTATGTAACAAAAAACAAAATTTGTTTAATTTACTGTTTGTATTTTGAGAACGATTTCCGAAGTGGAAATTGAAACGTCAATAAACGTATTTTTATCTTTAATTGTGGCTTATTCCCAGTTAAATAGTAATTAATTTAAAATGCCACAAGAAAATAGCTTCAGAACAATATTAAGTAAACTTTGCATCTCACTAGTAGTGTTCTGTTCATATTCCCTCTTCTTACGTCGATGGATGCGTTTTTCCTCTCTTCTAAAACGTCTATACTCTTCTTTTTTTCTCCGTGTACAACCTACGTCAATGATTTTTTGATATGCTGCATTCTTTTTATTTCTGGCCATTTCGCACTCATGATCAAACCGATGATCTCTTTTTTCTGACTTTTCGCCCAATATTTCAACGGATTTCTGTAACACAATATCTCGTATATTTGCCCATAGTTGGTTAATATCTTCTTCTTCTTCTAAGTTTTTTGTCCTTATTTGATCTTGTATTTGCTGTCTGTATACATTTGCAATGTCGGGATCTTTGTTTATTGTAAACTGTAAACTAAAGCATGACATAGGAACGCACTTTAGATGCAACGCAATAGATAATGCTCCAATCGATCTAGTGAAAACATTGAAATACTTGGGAATGATGATGAATGACCAATGGGATCCTCAACATAAATAAAATGGCGTACTGAACAAGCAAGACAAGCTTTTATCAAATTTAAACCGCTACTATGTAACCGCACTCTTTCCTTCAATCTCCGCTACAGGATGATTAGATGCTATGTATGGTCCATATTGTTATATGACATGAAAACATGGACGTTAAGAGTACCTTCCATTAATAAGTTGGAGGCCTTCGAGATGTGGACGTTGCGAAGAATGTTCCGCATACCATGGACAGATAGGGTGAGAAACGAGAAAGTCTTAAGAAAGGCAAATACTGAGAGAGAACTACTCAATTTGATCAAGGTACCAAAAATTGGATACCTCGGCCATATTCTGAGAGGAAAAAAATACGCAATCACTCAACTAATCATCCAGGCAAAGATTGAAGGCAAGAGAGGAGTAAGTCGCAAACAAATGTCGTGGCTACAGAACAGAAAGAATTGGGCAGGCATAAATAGCACTGGCGATCTTTTGCATGCCCAAAAAACAGACGTCTGACCTTAAGATAATTCACCAACGCACTATAAGAAGAAAAATACTTTACATATCCATTCCCGCAATTTTGAGGTATTTTCCTCTTATTACACATGCGCAGAATTATTCAAATTCAAACTCAGAGAACTGTGTTACTATTCTTCTTACCGTGTACGTAGTTTATAATGATAACGTCTATGCTAATGAACCTAGATTTATATGGAGCAGTATGTGCCTTGGAAAAATATATAGGTAGCAGTAATAATAATAATTAACAAGAAAACAAAAAGCCAATTTATCCATCGTATTGAACCCTACTGACTTATAGACGTAATAATAATAAGTGGCTTGAACCTTGCGGGGATTTCAACAAGTAATTGCTATTGGTATTAGCATTACAAAATCGGGATTTTATATAAACTACTAATAGTATCATTGTTTAAGGCATTATTCGAATTCAAATATCCATTAGCAATTTCTTCGATACAATTGTTAGTTCCGCTAGAAAATTACAGTTACTTGATATTTCATGCAACTTCAAGGAATATTTATTTTATAATGTGTATTACTAATAAAATTATAGTGAGCTACATTGAGACATTCTGAAGAAACGTGTAAATTTTAACATTGAAGGTCTCTTCATATATTATTTATTTCTTAAACATTTATACAAAACATATTCTACGCATTTATCAAGCTTGGTAAAAGTGGAATCACTGGTTTGAGATAATTTTCCCATAAAGAGTGATCTGCCAGAGCTACTTTAAATGTTTTACATTCTTATTCAAAATATTACCTAAATATGCCAAAGAGTGTACCTAAGAAGTGGATAATTTTGACAACGTAGGAAATACAAGGTAATTATGCAATGAACGCAATAGAATGAGATAATGCTACATATCGTAGTTGTTTGATCGAACAAATTTCCTCAATTATTTTTTGACAAAATAAAGATTTAAAAATATAATAATAAAATAATAAAAATAATAAATGTCTACCTGGGACTTCTCCAAACCGACCATCTTCCTTATTATCAATACGTCCCTGACAGAATGCTTGAAAATGACAACTACAAGCTATATTGGGACCGCATTGTCCTCACAGACCAACCAGTGGCACATAATAGACCGGATCTCATACTAGTTAATAAACTTATTAGGCAAACAACACTTATTGCTGTGGCGATACCCAACACCAATAATTTACGTGTTAAATACAACGAAAAGATCGCCAAGTACAGAGATCTAGAAATACAAACCAGGAGACAGTAGAGAATGGAAAGTACCCAGACAGTACCTATTATTCTATCTACTACTGGTGATATTCTCAAAAACCTTCTAGAGAATATAAAATAGCTGGATCTAAATGAACATCTCTACAAGACCATGCAGTACTGCTCACGACGTCTAGATGTGTACGAAAATTTTTGGGAGATCCTCTAATATATAAAGTTACCTTGGTCTTGATAACACGAAAAGAGTCCCACCAGAGTTCAATCCTTTTGATACCGTAAGTATCAGGAATGAGTGAATTTTCCTCTTAAAGGGGGTGTGAGCCGTATGGCTAAATCTGGATAAATGTCTTTATTAACAAACAAATTAATTTTCCTTTGCAATAAAATATTATATTATAGCGTTTTTT